GGCCACCTGGGAGGGACCCTGGCTGCCTGGTAGGGGCGGCCCTCGGGCTGGGGTAGGGAGGGAGGGGCCGGGCTCACCTTGACGCTGCGGTGGTGGATGCGTGAGGGCTGGCACTTGACACTGCTTGTGTTGCAGCAGCCCGTGCAGCGCTTCACCTCCACGCACGGGGGCCAGATCAGGAAGTTGGCGGACGTGGGGTCAACCTGACTCCGAGGAATCTCGTAAATGACCGTCCTGGTCTTGCAGACAGCGGGGACAGCTTCCTCTGCAATGGCGGGGACACAGTGAGCAGGGACTGGCTTCTGCGACCACCGCCCCACCCCAGGGCTGGGGCGGCTCCAGCTGGGCCTGGAGGGCAACCAGGGTGAGCCACAGGCCAGGATTCCTCCTCGGCAGCAGAGGCTGAGCTGGGAGCAGAGGCTCATGGGCGGGGTGGGCAGGAGCACCATACATCCAAAGCAGCCCAGCCCGGTGCCTGCAGGCTGGAGGAACCTGGACAGGTGGGGCCAGTGACTAGGGGGGCAGAGCAGGACTTAGCAGAGAATCCTACAGCACTCGCTGGGGTGTTCTGGCCTTTAAGACTGGTCTGAAGGGTGCAAAATGAAGACCCCCACAGCAAATGTCACCTGAGGAGGGCCTGCTTGCATCAGCTGGGACCAGCCACCCACACATCACACTTTAAGGTGGAAGATACAAAATCCATCCTCATGGAGGAAACCACAGCTCAGAGAGGGGGGTCCACCTGCTCAGGGCCACAGAGCAATGAGCAGCACCAGGGCTCAACCCCATCAGGTGGGACCCCAGAGGACGTGGGACTGGGGTAGAAAGCAGCGACTGGCCCAGGAACCTCCCAAACCTGCTAGCTCCTCCTCAGGGGGCAGGAGGGCCATGGGGCTGCCCTGTGAGAAGGGACAAAATATCCCCCAAATGGATGCGGGGGTGGAGCCGTGGAGCCAGGCGTGAGTGGGGCAGGGCATGCAGGGTGTGGTGAGGGCGTCCGGGGCACGCGCGTCCCCACCGGTTCAGCAGCCGGCGCGGGAGCACAGTGCTCACACTGTGAAATTAGGCACGACCACGTTTCCAGCAAGGCTCCTGGGAACAAGCCCCAACAAGACAGAGCACTTAAGGAATTTATGATGGCTTTTCTCCCCTGGAAGTTCTCTTGGCCCAGACCAGGACTCCAGGAGGAGCAGGCGGGCTGGGGCAGGAGACATCCCTGAAGGAGGGAGGCCTGGGGAGAGGCCAGAGCCAGAGGCACCAGGGCCAGGCCTATTTTAGGGAGGAGGGAACGGGTCACTCGCCTGAGGCCACTGTGTTGGGAGAGCCAGCAGCTCCTCCCCACCCAGCCCTGCCCTGCCGATTGCGGCCTCCTCCACTCACCAATGCTTCTCTTCCTTCGAATGGGCAGGGGCCGCTTCTCAGCCGCATGCTTGGTGGCGTGGACCCCGTGAACTCTCAGGCTGCTGTCCAAAGGATCCTCACTCCCTGCAGGCGGAAGGAGAGCACCGTGACTGCTCCAGGCCTGTGCGCTGTGCCCTGGGCCTGTCCAGCCACACTTCCCACAGACCAGCTTTGGGAGCCACTGGGGAACAGGCACCTGGCAGCACAGCCCCCCACAGCTCCCTGCCATGAGGGGCAGGGGGCGCCCCTGGGAGAACCGTGATTCCCACCAGGGCTTTTCAGATATGCAGGAGATGAAACGCCTGAAACTGCAGAAAACGCCCAATTAGCACAGAGAGCCCCAAATGCAGGGGCCGGCAACGAAGCTGAGGGCCCTTCGGGGAAGAGGCTACAGGCAGCCTCTCCTCTGGTGCCTCCTCCGAGGTAGCCCAGGTGAGCGCTGCCTGGGTCAGGAGGGGCTTGAGGCTGCCCGGCTCAGTGCACCTCTCCGAGGGGCACAGGGCGAAGCCAGGCCCCACCTCTGTCTGGGGGCTGGAGCAAAGGAGAAGCAGAGGCCACTGAGATTTCTGCAGGTGCCTGTACGTCTCCCTCCCTCCCCCTCACAAAAGCACTCCCCGAACAAGTGGCCTAACCTTTGAGGGGCACTGGAAACAGCCAGACTGGGCTGTGGGCCAGACCCCACTCATTCCTGAAATGAGTCTACTGTAGAGCCAGCGGCCATAAGGAGAGGCAGGATGGCACGTGGCCTCTCGTGGAGCCCACACCAAGGAGTTCCCGCAGCCTGACAGAGGGAGGCGGCCTGCGGAAAGGGGTTGAGAGAAGCTGGCATCTGCCAGCCGTGTTTACAGCGAGGCGGCCAGGTGCAGGTGGGGCAGTGGCCCAGAGCCAAGACCAGCACTGACCGGGGAGCAGAACTGAGAACCCTATCCCTGTCGCCCCACCCAGTGCACACACCACCCCATTCACAGGCGCTGATGGCTACGGCAGACAGGCTGGGGGAGTCTCAGGTCTCTCCGATTCCTGCAGCAGGGAGAGGACCCACAGTCCTGCCCATGGATACTGCCCGCACCTGGACACTGTGGGTGGCTCTGGGCCTCCTTGACTTGGCCCCCTGGTCCCAGCTTGGGGGGTCTCTTCCCATCTCCCTCCCTCCTGCCTCTCTAGCATATAACCAAGGGAGAACAGGCGCCGAGACAGTGAGCCTCACAGCCAGGGTGCCCCAGAGGCACAGAGATCTCCCCACCCCGTCCTGGGAAGCTTGGGAGGTCCCGGTCACCAGCCTAGACAGCTAAAGGGCTCTGCACCTCCTGAGTTCGGGACTAGAAGCCCAAAGTGTCTCTTCCCAGCCCACTAAGGCATTCGTGAGCGTCCACAAACCAACCAGAGAAACCTCAGCTTCCTCCGCACCCCGAGAAGCCTGAGACCCGCAGATTTAAAATTAAGTCCCGCAAACCTCACACAAGGTGACAGGCAAAGATGAAGCCCGCCCAGAGCCCAACTTTTTACCGAAAATGACTCAATGTTCCAATGACACTAATTTTTTTTGAGGCTCAAAATAAGATCAGAACAGAACGACTCACGCAGTAGGAATTTCCCATCAACCAACTGTTACAAGCAGCACTTCTTTTCATGAAAAAGTGACACTTCTGAGTCACATCCTGGTGGTGCCCATCTTGCCATGGCCAAACCAAAGAGCAACCGGTCCACTCGCCACTCGTAGGAGAAAATTCAATCGTAACACCCGCTCCCATTTTCCGATGCCTTGCGATAGCCACGTTTGCATCGGCCACTTTACCAACGACAGTTTCTGTGTGTGCGGTGGGTGCTATCACTTCTTTACATCCGAGGAAATTGAGGCCCAGAGAAATATAACAAGACGAGGAGGAGTGGCTCACAGGAGCCTCTGCGGTCTGCGTCCACAGTGCATGGGCCCTCTAGCCCTGGCTTAATAAACAGAGAAGACGGCAGCCCTGCTAGTTCACTGACCCTGAGAAAGCCTGAGCTGGAGAATTTCTTGAGACAAGGGACAGAAGGGGAACAGCTCCCAGTCTAACAAGCCCACCCTTTGCCCCCAGCTCAAGATGCCAAGAGTGGACCATGCTCCCCAAAGCCGCCCTTTCGATCTACACTGGCTGAGACGTGGCTCAGAGCAGCAGCCGCCCACAGCTCAGCAAACACAGCTCTGAGCAGCCCAGGACCAGGCCCAGGTGGCCTGGCCGGCTAGAATCACCCCTGAAACTGCTCCCAGGACAGCTAATCAGGAGGCTTTCCCTTTTGTCTTTTAGGCACAGATGTCCCAATGACAACTCCAGGACAGGGAGAATCTCCCAACCATCCATCCTGGTCTGACTGGCCCGAGATGGGGATGGGGATATTTATGTTATCAGCCGCTGGATGAACCACGGGCAGCGGGCCAGACTGCTTTGGGGAACAAAACATCTCAGCTGCCACTGCACAAGGGACAAACAGGCCCTAAACGCCGGCTGCCGGTCATTAAAAGACCACATGCTGGCCTCCGGCTCTAAAAGCCACAGGTGACAAACCTTCACTCTTCCCTCCAGCACACCCTCCGAATGAAATCCTCGGGCTCTACCCCTGCTCCTCCAGCCACAGCCAAGGAGCGGCCAATCCCCCAGACAGTGCCTGGCTCAGTCTCCTTAACTGTACAATGGGGACGCAGCCTGCATGCTGGGAGGAGCCAAATGTCAGTCACAAAGCCCCACCCACCTGGAGGAGGAGTCAGCATAGCTGGGGCGCACACCTGGGATTCCTCCAGGCCTCTTTCTACTTCCTACAGTGTTGGCCTTAGAGGCACCTAATGCCGAGAACATCAGCCTGGAAGGGTTATAAAGGAACCCCGAGGGAAAGTTCATTACATTCCGTTTCTCCCAGCACCCAGCCCCTTCCTCATGAGCCCCACACTGTCCCCTGCCCCTAAGAGACCAGAAGCACCTCTGGATCAAAAAGGGAGTACAGGACCCGGAGGGAGGCTTACCCCAGGAGAACTGACCTCAACCAGTTTACAACCCTCCCTAGGAGAGAGAACCTGAGTTAAGGAAAAGGCATTCCCTACAAGCTGGAGAAGCAGCCGTTGCCTCTCCTGTCCTCAGGCGAGAGACTGTGGGTCCCTCTGGTTCCATTTCCAGCCACACCTGGGGAGGGGACTGAACAGGACGAAGGAGACCCCGCTGTGTTACAAAAGGTCCCCCACTAGGGGCAAGGCTGGAGGCGAGAGAGGAGGTAGATGCCACCTCCATATTCTCACACCCAAAGCCTCCTAGACACTAGCAGAATCCTATTCAGACCCCAAAACCTCTCACAAGACAGGAGGGCTGAGATCGGCGCTCTCTGCCTTCCCTGGGGCAGGAGGAAAGAGCTCCGGGCACATGGCTGCAGGGGGAATTTGAAACCGACTAGGAGGACTAGCTTAGGGCATCCTTGTTTTTTTCTGTTTGGACCCTACAACCTAGAAGCCCCCGGGTCAGGAATGCCATCAGCATACGCCACGGAGCTGCAATGCTAAAGGCGATAATGGGTGGGGGTGGAGGAGGCGGAGCGCCAAGACCAGAATAAGAATAGTCCCAGCAGAAAGTGAATGGCCCATTTCCCTGAGGCTTCCAAAGCCAGTCCCACGAGGAGGCCCAGCTCTCCACAGGCCCCCCTTCTGCTAGCACCCCCCAAAAAAAGGCCTGAAACCTTCTCCGAGAAGCAGCCCCCCCCCCAACTTTTCCAAACCTATCCAGGACCAGCGAGATTCAGGCAAGGGTTCCCCGCCACAAACCAGAGCCAAATCCCTTCCCCCAGAGTTACCTATGGAGGGACCGGGTGAAAACCCCCCGGCCCAGCTGTGCTCTCCGGGTGAAACTACCGCCCCCGCCCCCGATAAGGATCAGCCCAGGGATTTCCTGGGTCAAGAAACTACAGAAACCATCGGCCTTGTTAGAAAATGGTTTTGGCATGAAACGAAAATAGTTCATGCCTCTCCACCACCATAATTAGGTACAAATTTCCAAATGACTAGACCATGTGATTTCACTTAATCCCCCCACGCCCCCCCCCTTTTTCAGAGTCCTTTGCAGAGAGAGAGAAAAATCTTCATGTCATATACATTCTTCCAATTCTGCGACCTTTAGTTACTCTTTTTAATAAGTTTATTGCAGACCCCCTTTTTAAACCAGGTTAAGGCTCAGATGGGAGTTCCCAGGCCGAGTGCGCATTTTGAAAAGGGCGCCACAAAGGCCTGGAAGAGAGACCTCGCCTTCTAGGAAGGGGCTCTCTGGCCCTGAGGGGGCGGGCGGCCACCCTACACCCTCGCCCCTCCCACCCACCCGTGGTCCCCCCGGGGTGAGAAGCCCCTTTAACCCTTGCCAACCCGGGTCCAACTCTGCGGCTGACATTCGCTCCAAAACTCTGTGCTTGCAAATAAACTGTGTTCGCTACTGGCCCGGCCCCAGGGCCCGAGGGTGAGCCGCAAAAATAGCCTCAGGCAGCAGATGCGTCTAAGGCTTTTTATTGGGTCGTGAAAACAGTAAGACACCGGCTTCTGCAGCCACAGAGGCCCAGCCCTGCGGCAAGAACGCGGTACCAGCTCGCAGGGATTACAAAGGGGCCGGCCCCG